TAATATATAGTAGTTTTCCCCCAAAGTTATAAAGCTTAGTACAAACAGATACTTTCTGTCTGATTGATTCAACAGTTCATACTTTGTTTTCTCGATTTAATGACAGGGTCACTATGAGTCACATTGACAGTAGTAGGGGTTTTTTTTAACCTAAGATGTATAAAAATTATTAGAAAACCAAAATAAAACCTTAATAGACTCTGTATTTCTTTTTTTTTTTTTCATGAAAAGGTGGAATGTGGTACAGAAATTGAAGTAAAACTTTGATGAGTGCTTACTCCATATTACAGAAGAACAATGCTTACCTAGTTCAATACATGTTATTCCAAGAGACCATACATCTACTTTGCCATCATACTGTCCTTCATCCATGGCTAAAATTACTTCTGGGGCCATCCTAAAAAAATAAAAAGTTCATTTAAATTAAGGTTTAACCCCAGCAACAATAGCAAATTCAAGGTAGCTAGCAATAAATGCTGGCAAGGGAATAGAGATTGGAACTCACTCCCATACACTATGGATGGGAATGTAAAATGTTCTAACCACTATGGAAAACAGTCCGGCACTTCCTTAAAAAGGTGAAAATTGAAGTAACAATATCCCAAAGAAATAAGAGATGCCATACAAACAGAAAAAATGAATACCTACGGTCATTTACAACAGTAAAGAGGTAGAAGTGATCGAAGTATTCATCAATGGATGAAAAGATAAACTATGGCACATTCTTACAGTGGAGTATGATGCAACATTGAAACCATTAAAGAATGCACAAAACTCTGTATAACATGGTTGCATCTAGAGGACATTATGCTAAATGACATAAATCGTTTACCAAAGGGCATATATAAAACCACTGTTATAAAAAACTAAGGAAAAGTTTACACACAGAATCATTCTTGAATGGTTACCAAGGACAGAAGGAAAAGAGAGAAGTGCAAAAACTAGTAAACAGGCACATATTAAGTTGGATAAAGGGAATAATAGGATTTTCTAAAGATATTTTAGTATTTAATAGTCACAATCAAGTTCTAAAATGAGGAGTCACTCAGTAGTATTTGCACAGAGAACTCTTTTATAACTAGATGAGTTCCATATCAATGTAAAATATTTTATTAATATATCTATTGTTATTAAAATTGTTATTCCTTTGTACATTTCATAATAATTAGATGTAAATAATATAGAATATATACCTATATTGTATGAATATTTTAAATATCTTTTCATCAGGACCTTGGAAATACAGAATTACTTAAAAATTTTTTTTAAATGTTATATAGTCTATAGCAAAGGTTGTTTTTATGGACATGTTAACTAGTCAAATCAGTCTGCCGGTGTCAGAAGTCTGATGCCATTTTTCAATGCAAATAATTATGTTAATATGTGTCTCATGAAAACAATCAGTTCTAGATTCTAAGCTTGTAAAAGAGAGAGAAGGGTTGATTTCATCTCTACCCATCCTCACCCTTCTGCTCCCACCCCTTACTCCTTTGGATCCCCATACATATGTTTTACAATTACAAAAAAGTTGTTGTTATGTGCCCTTGAGTCGCCTGCGACTCATCGCGACCCTATGTACAACAGCCCTAAACTCCGCTCTGTCCTGTGTCAATCGCACTGTCTCCGACATTCCCATCCCAATTATCCCAGTCACTGAAGCAATCCACCTCATAGAGGGCCTTCCCCTCCTGCGCTGTCACTCCACCCTCCCAAGCATGATGACCCTCTCTAAGGACCAGTCTCTCCTCACAACATGTCCAAAGTATGTTAGACGGAGCCTCAGAATCCTTGCCTCCAAGGAGCCACCCGGTTTAACCCTTTCCAGGACAAATCTGTTTTCCTAGCAGTCCATGGTATTCTCAATACTCTTCTCCAGCACCACAGCTCAAAGGCATCAATTCTCCTTCTATCCTCCTTGGTCATTGTCCAACTCTCTGATGCATAACAAGTGATTGGGAAGACCAAAGCCTGTATCAGACGCACCTTAGTCTCCAGAGAGACACCATTGCTCTTCAGTACTTTGGAGAGGTCCCTAACAGCAGACTTTCCCATTGCAATGCGCCTTTTGATTTCCAGGCTGCTGGTGCCAAGACTGTTGACTGTGGAGCCAGGAAAACTAAAGCTGTGTACAATCTCAATCTCTTCACCATCCATCCTGATGCAGCCAATTGGTCCAGTGGTGAGAATCTTTGTCTTCTTGACATTGAGCTTCAATCCATATTGGAGGCTGCAGTCCTTGACACTCTGCAGCAGGCGCTTCAGGTCCTCTTCAGTTTCAGCAAGCAGGGTTGTGTCATCTGCATAACGCAGATTGTTGATAAATCGTCCGCCAATCTTGACCCCACATTTCTCCTCATAGAGCCCAGCCTCCTGGATAATTTGTTCTGCATATAGGTTGAAAAGGTATGGAGATAGGATGCATCCCTGGCGTTCGCCCTTCCCAATTTTGAACCATGCACTGTTCCCTTGCTCTGTTTTGACGACTGCCTCCTGGTCCAAGTATAAGTTTCGCATTAGAACGATCAAGTGTTCTGGGATTCCCATTCTTCTCAGAGTCAGCCATAGTTTGATATGATCTACACAGTCAAATGCCTTTGCATAGTCAATGAAACACAGATAGACATTCCTCCGGTATTCCCTGCTTTCAGCCAAGATCCATCTAACATCAGCTACAATATCTCTAGTACCACGACCCCTTCTAAACCCAGCCTGGACTTCTGGTAGTTCTCTGTTGATGTGCTGTTCCAGTCGTTTTTGGATAATCTTCAGTAAAATCTTGCTTGCATGTGAAATCAGTGAGATTGTTCTGTAGTTTCCACATTCTGTTGGGTCACCTTTTCTTTGGGATAGGAACAAATATCGATCTCTTCCAGTCAGTTGGCCAAGTGGTTGTTCTCAAGTAATTGAAAAAAAGAGCGAATGGTGCAGAGATGAAAAAGAAAGTGGGGACCAAGAAGGAGAAAGATGTTAAGAAATGCAGAGTTTTCAGTAATGAATTAATGAATATCCAACTTTCTAAAACTTTTGTTAAAATCACAATTAAAATAAAACGTTTTATAAAAAGAAGAAAACAGAAATGCAGAGTTTTGCTGAATCTGTACCTTAATCTTTCAATATTTCTCATGAAGGTCATAAATTCTCAAGTTGTCCTTTTTGTGTATCTCATAAGCTTTGACATCCAGAACAGATGCATTATTGTAATATTAAGATGGGTAAGAAGTTGTCTTTTATTAAGCAGGAGAAGGGAGAGTTTGAAAATCAAGTGGGAAAGGAGGTACAGTGGCCGAAAGGCACAAAATTCATTGGTGATAAAATTATTTATGGATATCATGTCTAGAATTTGCTTCCAAGTAATTGTGGGAAAACAGTGGAGATGTTAAGAGTACATCCAACAAGATGAGCCACAAAAAAGAAATGTTATTAAGCCAGTGACTAAAACATGGGGCATTATGTTTTTAGTTATATATTTTAAATCTGCCAAAATAAAAATTCAAAACAAAACCAACACTGAAGTACCTACCATTCTTTAAGCACACTTAATCTAAATATCATGGAAATAAAGGTAAATCAAAGAAAAATAGAAAATGTGGATTTAACATTTCTATTCATGCCAACTGAATTTATTAAAATAAAAAAAAATCCACCTCTCAGAAAACATTCACACCTACATCCAATTTATTATGCAAACAGAATTGTGGGATGGGAGAGGAGTAAAAAGTTGCAATAACAGTAGAAACAAAGGAGATTGAAGGAAAACATTCAATTCTGAATTAAAACTAACCATAAGCCTTACAGCTAAATGATCCAAAATACTTATGGAAAAGATAAAACATGCCAAGTCTTACACTATATACTTCAATTATAAGGATCAGTAAGAGATACAATTCTTACCAATATGGTGTTCCCACAAAAGAATTGGCAGGAGATGCCATGGAAGCAGACCCAAAGTCAGCAAGTTTCACCTGGCCTGGTTCCGTCAGAAGAATATTTCCTGCTTTGATATCTCTGGGTTTAGAAAATATAGAAAATAATGTGTTGAAAATTATAAACATCAAAGAAGAATTCCTAATATAGGAAAGGAAAAACAAAATAATTAAGTCCTGGAATATTCTAACAACTGAGACAGTATTAGGATCCATGTTAGAAAATAAAAATATATAGTTCAAATAAATATATAGTAATAATTTTATAAAATAAAAGGTAAATAGCTATAAATAACAAAAAGTTAGAAAATCAGCTAATGAAAGTGTACAGTCTGTATCTTGAGTCTTTTCCTTAATACAAATAATGACTTTAAAAATGACATTTAATTGGTAGCTGACAACCCCTTTGTCTCTGAAACTTCTCAATTGTTATGTGCTATCAAGTCGCCTATGACCCATAGTGACCTTATGTACAGCAGCTTGAAGCCTGGCTGCCCCAGTTACTATATCAATCCAGCTCCTAGCCTCCAAGGAGAAACTTGGTTTCACTCTAAGACAGACTTATTTGTCTTCTTGGTGGTCCATGCTGTGTTCAAGACTCTTCAGCACCAAATCGTGAACGCATTGATTCTTCTTCTGTCATCCTTAGCTATTGTTCTGCTCTCTGATGCATAGCAAGTAGAAGACCACGGCCTGGATCAGGTGCACCTTAAGTCTCTAGACTGACTTCATTTCTTTTTAGTACTCTCAAGATGTCTCTGATAGGAGACTTTGCCAGCGTAATTCATCTTTTGATTTCCTGATTGCTAGTGCCAAAAGGGCTGATTGTGGAGCTGAGCAAGGTGTAACTGTTAACAACCTCTATGTCTTCTCCATCAATCATGTTGCTGCCAATCAGCCCAGTGGTAAGAATCTTTGTCTTCTTGATGTGGAGCTTCAATCCATATTGAAGACTGCAATCCCTGACCCTCTGTAGCAAGTGCTTCAAGTCTTCTTCAGTTTCAGCAAGTAAGGTTGTGTTATCTGCATACTGTAGGTTGTTAATGAGTCTTCCTCCAATCTTGATGCCACATTCTTCCTCATAAAGCCATGTTTCCCAAATGATCTGTTCTGCACACAGATTGAAAAGGTATGGGGACAGGATGCATCCCTGATGTGCTCCATTCTTCATTTTGAACCGTCCAGTGCTTCCATGCTATGTTCACTGTATGCCTCCTGGTCTAAGTATAGGTTTTGCACGAGCACAAATAAGTGTTCTGGAATTCCCATTCTTCTAAAAACCTTTAAACAAATAAAAAGTTTCTAACTATCTCCCTAAGAAAAAAAATTCTTTCAAAACTTCAACATTTAAGCAGTCTACGAGTAATATAAAAACCAATTATTTCATATTTACTTTAAAAATACTTTCTAAAAGTAGCAAACATATAGTACACAGAAAATGTGGAACCAAAAAAAAAATGTCAGGCTTATTGTTATTGGTCCAATAAAGACCCTTGAAGTGCATTTTGTCCTAGTCACCCTTTAGACATGGAATAAAGCTCATCCTGAGGGTTCAACTTAACACCAAACAATGTTGTTAGATGTCATCAAGATAACTGTGACTCGTAGTAACCCTATGAATGAGGGACCTGAATGCTCTACCATTTTTATCCTCTCAGGAACACTTGAACCCATTGTTACAGTTCTTATGCCAATCCATCTCAATGAGGATCTTCCTCTCCTTTGCTGACCTTCCATTTTTCCAAGCATGACGTCCTTTCCCAAGGACTGGAACCTCCTAAAAACATGCCCCAAGTATGTTTCACAAAGTTTCACTATCCTTCCCTTGAAGCAGCATCCTGGCTGCACCTTCTCAAAGACATCTGTTTATTCTCTTGGCAGTCCATGAGATATATAGCATTCTTTTTCAACACCACAACTCAAAGGTATCAATAATTCTTCTTTCATCTTTATTCAAATAGTGTCCAACTCTCAGATGCACAGCAAGTAATTGAAAAGACCATGGCTTGGATCAGCTGTACTTTGAATCTTTTAACTGACAATCATGCCCATCAACATTTGGAGAGGTTCCCAACTGCAGATTTTTCCATTGTAATGTGATTTTTTTTTATTTCCTGACTCATGATACCAAGAATTCAAGTAAGATGAAATTACTGACAATATTTCTCTCTTCTCCATTTATCATGATATTGCCTATTGGCCCACAGGTAGGGTGTTCCTGATGTTGAGGTGTAATTGTAGTCATTGATCTTCTGCAGGAAACATTTCAAGTTCTCTTTACTTTCAGAAAGCAATTATGTATCATCTGCCTAATGCAGGTTATTGATGAGTCTTCCTGTAATACCATTGCCACATGTTTCCACATGAAGTGCAGCTTTCCAAATTATTTGCTCAGCATAGAGACTGAACAAGTATGGTGAGAGGATACATCCCTTTCTTTTTTTTTAAATTTTATTTTATTTTTTTAATAATTTTAATGAACATTTATAGAGAATTTGGATTTCCATTCATTC